TCGATATATTCGCCGTTAGGACCTTTAACTCGCTTAATTACGTTAACTTCGACTAAGTCCGTCTTAATAATACCTTTATAATAATAAATACCTTCGTCGTTAATAAAACCCTTGGTTTAATTATAACCTAAGATCTCCGTTTCGTATAATTCGTAGCTATATTTACGTTCGACTATCTAAATAACGTTAATCTCCGATATAGCTCTTAGTATTTCTTTTTACTTTAATACTACCTTCTCGTTCTTAAAGTATCGTAGGTTAAGGGATATAAGCTTTAGCTTTCCGGCTAGGTAATAATATACTATCCTACGTACCTACTCTAGGGATTCTTTACTTTAATATACGTAAAATAAAATATAATAAGCGATCGGTTTTCCTTTATACTTAGCTTAGGTAATAATCGATCCTAGGATTAATATTAACTCCGGCTTATCCGGGTTTCCGTTCTCGAAGTAGTATAGTCGTTTACTACTTCTATAGTAAAACCGATTCTAGGTTATATCCATTAATAGCGAGTAGCGGCTATAGTTATAAAGCCGATCGAAAGTATTATAAAACTAATATTCGAATTCCCTATAGTTATTCGTTTAGGTTAATAAAATCCTACTACGTATGTCTCGGTAGTCTAATATAATACTACGTCTAAAGCCTACTAGGATCCTTTCGTTAATTTATAGGTTATAAAGACTTAGGTTCCGAACCGCGTTTACTAGGAACGGATTTTCTTATTAATATTATTAATCGGCGCCGTACGTATCCCTAAAGCTATAAAAACTATTCTCTTAACGGTAGTTTTACGAAGTTATTTTTATCTCTAGAGCGTTAAGTCGGTCGTAGAAGGCCTATATATTAGCTTCCTAACTAATACTTAGGTAGCCGTAAGAAGGTCTAAGCTACGAGGAAGGCGGTAATAAAGGCATCTATAAGCTAGGAGTCGCTAATCGTTAAATTATTTACATTATAAGCTTCTCGGGTTCTTCGAAAGTTACCGTTTTTTATTATCGTCGTTCTTTAGCTTAAGCTCTATCGGTAATTTATATTACTATACGACGTTCCGCTTACTTATAAAGCTAGGTATAAAGAATCCGGTAATCGACATTTCCGATCCTATTATAGTTATAGTCTCCCGTTTTATAGAACTTTATAATTAGGGATATCCGGAATTTATCGGTTAGGTATCCTACTTTCTAAGGAAGCTTTCCGTTATCGTTTACGAGCTTAAAGAGGCGTTTATAGTTTATAAGATACGTAAAGATCGCCTTAGGATCGTTAATTACGTTACCTCGTTCTAGCTATACGAGTTTACGTTTAACGTTAACTTAACCTAGTCTATCGGTAATCCTAAAACGGTACTTTAGGGCTATAACGATAACTCTTTAGATCGTTTAATCCTTCGTAACGTCGTTAATACGCTTCCTAATAATTTTAATCGTAATTTATTCGCCGATTTCCTTAATCTTATTATCGTCGCTTATACGGTAACGATTAAATAATCGATCTATTCTTTCTAGCTACTAAGTTATATTATATTTATTAAACTTAAATCTAAAGTAATCGGTAGGGTTAGGAAATCTAATAACTAATATTACGATAGTCGGGGTAACTACCGGTATATTCTAACTACTAAAAGCCCCATTATTATTATTCTAAGATAATGCTATAAGGATTAGCGGAATAAGTATAAAGCCGCGGTTAAAGGGTAGCTAAGTAAGAGTTTTATCGTCGTTCTCTTCCTTTTCGGGCGGATATAAAAACGAAGAGCTAGTATCGACTCTTAAGGTCTTTATTAATAGTTTAGTCTTTACTACTTCGGGTCCTAACGGCGATTTACTTCGTTTCCTAGCTACGGATTTCGTTTAGTTTATCGATACGAAGTATAAAGTAAAAAGGGAAATAATAAGGATCTTATTATTTAATATAGGAATAAAGGTATAATAGCTATTATTTATATCCTAATACTTTTCCTTTAATATAGGTATATTATTATTTATTATATTATTCCGATCGATAAGGTCCGGGTATTATACGAGCTTCTTTAATCGGCTAACGCCTAATTAAAGTACGATACGTATTCCCTAGACTAATAGTTTAACTATTATAAATAAATCGACGATAATCCCTCTTATTAAGGTCTAGAACTCTTAACGTATAACCTTCGTTAAAGTAATACGTATAAGGGATAGATCCCGAGTAAAGGATCGTATTAAATACGATATCGGTTATAGCCATAAGCCGGTCTCGATTTAACGGGGGTTATTTAATAATATTAGCGGTATTACCGCTAGGCGTCGTTTTACGCCTATATTAATACTTCTCGCTATACTAGTTATTAGTTAGTAATATAAGGCTAGCTTATATATAGGTATACCTATTAACTCGACTCTAGTTCCGTTTCCCTAATCCTTTATATCTACGTAATTTTATTAATATTAATTCCTAGTTCTCTTTAAAACTATCGGTTATTAGTAGCTATTAATTTATTAATCCTATCTATATTATTAATATAAATATCTATATTATATCGTATATTATATCGTCGAGTCGCTACGCCTAGGTATCCTAAAATACCTCTAGCATAATAAGTTATTAGTATTTATATATTTAATTTATATCGATTAGTAGGTTTAGAGAGAAAAAGAAACTATCGTAAGGTCGGCTAAGGTATAATTACTATTAGCCTTTATTCGTACTTAGTATTAATAAGGAAGTAGCGGGTCGTATAGGTTATCGTAATTTATATTAAGGCGTTCGTACGTCCTTTATATAGTAAGTAGGTAATTATAAGGGGGCTATCTTAATCGTTAAAAGCGTTATTTACTTGCGTAAGATATACTATACTATTAGCGGTTTATAGGAGCGGTTAATATCAAAGGCTAAGTACTATCCCTAGTAGCGGTAGTATTACGACGATAGTTTCCTAGGCTTACGGGTTTTTCCGTATAGGTAGATAAATAACGATACGAGGGATATCTTAATCGGTATAAACGCGGTTTAGTCGTCGTATTATATCGTAGTATCGATAACTTAATAACGTTATAAGTATTAAGGACTAAGCGCTATCCTAGTAGCTATAGTATCGTTACAAAAGTTCCCGGGCTTATACGTACCTCCCTATAATAAATAAATAACCATAAAGCGGGATACTTTATTTAACGTAAAACGCGGGCTACTTCGCGGGTTAAATGGCGGCGCCGACGGCGATCGGTATCCTCTAAATCCTAGTAGCGTAATAGAAACTCCGTAAACTAAAGGTTAAGGAATCGAAAAAAAGTTATAAGGTAGTCGTTACTAAGGAGGAGTAAAGCGTACGCGATACTAAAGACCCGGATATATTTACTCGAAAGTATACTCTATCGAAGACTATAATACGTACGATAATCTAGGATAAATAAAACTAATATCGCTATATTAATCGAAAGGCAAGGAATCTAATATAGTTATCGTATCTTAGCTATGCCCCTTAGTCGTAAAGATATAGTAGTCGCTAGCCCGAAGGTATAAGAGGTAAGGAAAGAAAAGGAATAAAACGCAAAAGTTACTTATTCGGCTATAGCGGTACGACGAAGTAACTTAAGCGCCTATAACTAAAATAAATATACTAATCGGAAAACGACGAATCTAATAGCAAAAAAAACGAATCTTTAATTAAGGCAAAAATAGTAAAGATAGTAATCTAGCTAGGTAATAAACTAGATAATAAGTATAGCATATCCCGTACTTACGGGAGCTATGGTTACTCTATATAGGCATAAGGCCTATCGTAGCGTATTACGTAATATATCAAGAGGGTATGTCTTACCGCACCACTACATTATAGAAAGGGTTACTAACATAGTATCAATAGACCCCCCCCTCCCTATATGGTAGGTATTTACCTAGGTACCTAAGGTTCTACTTGGGAGCTTCCAACCTGTCACGATAGCACGCCCCTACTCTAGTACCCCATGGCAGGCCACGGGATAGCCCTGACGGGAGGTCCCACGGGCGTTAAATACCTACTAGGTATAGGTACTACTACATACCGGCGCGGTATCGCGCGGAGCATGAACGCTTCGACAACAGTCCTCTGTCTGGGGAGTCGGCCACCGTCACTGTCACCCTGAGCCTAAAATCGACGACGGTCACGCACAGCACATCACAGCAGAGTATAGTAGTTACTTGTTCACATCTTCAGAGAATTTCGCAACATCGCCTTTAGGTAGAATATTACAATGTTACGCGGGCATCGAAGGACGGATCGACGTCTCACCCCCTTTTCGCAGAGCTTGATCTCTCAATTCCCAGCCACTAAAGCCATCATTACCAGTGCGACTACGCTCCGCCGTTGTTAGAGCCCACACATGGCAAGGATAACAGCAAACGAGCCCTTCTCAGTGTTCACGTCACCAACATACCTAAGCTTCCCACGTCCAATACTCGCAAGCGCAACCGCTGTCTCTCCCGCGATGTTCGCATTCGTAGGAGCAAAGACCCGAGACTCGACGACGGAGTTTTCATCCGTGTGATACCATGCATCCGTAAACGCTACATTCTTCACAAATACTGCCTTTTGGCTATATTGCGGCGGAAGCTTTGTGGCCAAGTCGTTGGCCACCACCTCTCGGTTGAGCACAAGTGTCGTCCGGTGGTACGAGCCAACCTCCCACTGCAAGCCCGCCTTTGCAAAGAATGGCTTTATCGCCATCGGCTTGACGTAGGAAGCGAAAAGACCCATGATCACGGATGTTCCCCCTTGGCGCACATACTGTAGGACTGCCTCCCAGACGCGGGCGTTCTTGGCGTTGGTTAGTGCCTCGTCAGTTATGAGGGCAGCGTAGGGTTGCGGCTGTTCTGACAGCAGGCGGATGGCTGAGCCTGTCTTCTTTGCGCGTTGGAGGCTCGCCTTCGATCCGAGCTCCGTGAGCAGGGAGCCATACGCTTCATCGAAATATGGTTGCCAGTTGAGAGAGATCAGAACAATTCGGGGCCTCGTCACTTCTTCGGCGGCCATGATTATAGACCTTGATTCTTCATTCGCAGTTGCTAGCCGTCATAAGTATATGATGAGTCTTCTAAAACACCCTTCCAAAGCAACTGGGGAACTGAATAGAGGCTCGCCGACGGGCGTCCTTCGACAGAGGGAACAACCTTTCGAGAGTCCTGGAACCCGGTTATGATAACTTCAATTATCGCAGCGGCAAGGCCAGAATTCGGAGAACTCGAAGAATCAGCGTATTTTGATGTATCGGCGATATTTTTATCGCGGGCGGGCCGAATCGTGTACGGTGCCTTACGAGAAGCCTTTGGGCGACGATTTCCCTCCAAACGAGGAGTTAGGCAAGAGGAGTTAGGCAAGTAAAGGGAGGTCGCAAACCAGCCTAACCAATTAAATCCCTTATACCTTACCGTTGTTACAACCTGCTATTTCTGTTAGTACTCCTAGGAGTAGGTAACTTAGCTAGGTAGGTCTTGGTTTAAAGGTACCTAACAGTGAGAAGGAGAGTCTCTAATCGTGGGACTTCAGAGCCCACACTTCACATACCTACTTCTCTAGTCGCGGGTAGAGGTAGTTTCAAAGAGTAGGTAACCTGTGTATTAGATGAATAACCAAGGAACTGTGATAAGTGTCTAGATATAGGAAACTTTCTTCTCTTTTTATACTCTATTTCTTCTACCATGTTGGTAAACTCTCTCATAAATCGGTACGATTTACTTAGAATCGTTATGATTTGATTTAAGTTGTCACGATTTACTCTTTACTTAAGCAACTCGGTTACGTGCCGTTAAATAAGAATTAGTTTAAGGTAATGTCATTCGGGACGTTACCTCTTACAATAGATGTTTAGTATGTTAGAGAGTATTAGTTTCTAATATAAATATATAAAAATAAGTAAGAAATAAAATACGTCGAAGTACTCTGCTCTTTTTTACGTGTTGGTGCCAAAAACCTAAGACCTCTCTAAAGGCAAGAGGAAAAAGAGTAAGTAAAAATAGACGTTTAATTAAACTAAAATACGTCGAAGCGCAGAGCGCTTCTCTAGGTTTTCATGCCGAAAACCTAGAACCTCTCCGAAGGCTAGGGAAAAAGGGGTAAGTAGGAATCGACGCTTGATTCAACTGCGAAAAGAGATTGATTAGCAATCGACTCTTGATTAAATAGGGAGAAACTGACTTAGATTGAACAGGGAGAAACTGACCTCGATTAAATAGGATTGAAATAGGTAGGAAATAGGATTAAACGCGTAAGTAAATAGATAGACGCGTATGCTGCTGTTTTATTAGATGCATTCCTTTTAAGCGGGTCATACGAACTTTTAACTAATTAAAACGGCGTATACGAACTTTCAGCTAATAAAAACAGAGTTTTCCCTAAATGATACCCCTTTACAAAGGTATTTACAGGGGTATTTAACCCTGTAATTAATCAACATAACAGGAGGTTATGTGTATTATAACTATCCTCCAGATAGGATAAAAAGAGATTAACAATCGACTCTTAATTAAATAGTAAAAAACTAACTTTGATTAATTTATATATAAATATAATTAAAATAAGTAAAATGTTAATACATTAGGATATAAATAGTAATATATAGACCTCATCTCATATACTATAGTTTTATTAAATGTATCCCTTTTAAATAGATCGTACAAATTTTTAACTACTGAAAACATATATATGAACTTTTAGCTAATGAAAATAAAGTTTCTTTTAAATTTATAAAGGTATTTATGAAGTTATTTTTATAAAGCTTTTTACCTTTATAATTAATTAATATAATAAAGAGTTTAACGTATTGTAACTATTCTCTAGATGTGATAATTAAACTATAAATAATATATAAATAACTTAAAAGTAAAAGAAACATAACTAATTAGAATACGTTTTATATATAGTATGATAAAAAGCTTATTTAAAATATAAAAATTATATAGAGAACATAAAAATTAATAAAATACCTTGTATTTAATTTAATAAAAGTTAAATAAAAATGTTCAATAAATAATATATTAATATTTAAAATTTTCTTTTTAAATATATTTCTTACTATTATATAAAAGTATATTAAATTAATTTTTTAATAATAAATATTTACTCTTAAAGTATAAATTAAATAATTATAATAAATATAAATGATAGTAGTAATAGTAGTAATAGTAGTAATAGTAGTAATACAATAGTAGTAGTATAAATAACTCAGTAGTGATAGTAGCTTAAGTAATCAAATGAGCCTTACTTTAATCAGTTAGTAGAGTATCGTTGCTTTAGAAGGAGCTAATAGAATCTTTAGAAAGTCGTAACCCGCTTTGGGGTGAGGTATAGTGGACTAGTCCGTACCTATACTCTGCGCAGGGCTCTGATTGGTGGAACAAGGACTAGCTGGAGCGAGGCTGGCCACTTAGAAGCCGGAAGCCTCGACAGCAACACACCTACCTACCATCTCCCGTCGGCCGCCATCAGCAGAGAGCCTCGCCCGTCCTCTGCTACCCGTCCCTCTTACGTTGGACCGGAGCGCATCCTCGACCGCCGATACACATCCATCAGCGCGCACACACGCACACAGACACACACACCGACTGAGTGAGCCAGCCAGCCTGCCTGCAGAACATCGTTACGTTCTGCAACAGCAACGGCAACAGCAGCGGCAACAACAGCGACGACGACGACGACGGTATTGCTGGGAAGCATGGCTGCACGACCCACCACGCCGGCATCCCCAAAAAATGTCAGGATCAAGCCACCCACTCCTGGCACGCCTCTGTTCGGTTGCGGTCAATCACCCCTCCTCACGGTAGCTCCAAGAGCTTGTCTGTTCCCCTACGGCACGGCACTGACGCTCTCCCAGAACACGTCCAGCTCCTCTTCTCCAACAGCCAAGATGTCATGAACAGCTCCATCCAGTACTATAAGATGCTCCTGCGCGTCATCTTCGACAACACCTCCCTTGTGCCCCAGACCTCCAAAGGTCCAGACGGCCAGATCATCACCTCCTTAACCTCCAACTACCTATGCCTGCAGTGCTCCACCATCGTCCCCGAAGAAGAGCGAAACAAACATGGAAACAAGAAGAGCCATCGGTTCTGTAGGCTGTCCCCACGCGGCGTTGTCCGACACTCCCGGACCCATTAGCTGACGAATTGTAGACGTGGACTCGAGGAGTGGCGCGCTGTTTTGCCAGTTCTGCGAGGACTTTGTATGGGACCCGACTCTAGAGGAGCTCAGAGTAAGGAAGATAGGAACCGGATCGTTCTCGAGTATGTTCCCCGCACCTCTTTGGGCACATATATCTATTCTGCTGGTATCGACGGCAAGAAGAGGGGGAATTGTCGGGCGCCGGCCAAGGCGGTCATCGTGGCGAGGCTGACCGACTTACCTCCTAGGTCGTAAAAGGAAACACGAGGAAATGTTCTCCGACACGGTCAAGGACGCGCTGAAGGACACGCTGAAGGACGATCCTAGGTATATCTCGTCTAACACCACTATCGCCTCGTGCAGAGCCGATGGCCTTCGGGGCATTTACAATGCCGGCGCAACGTGCTACCAGAATGTCGTCCTCCAGAGTTTCCTCCACAATCCCCTCCTTAGAAACTTTTACCTGAGCGATGGGCACCAAAGCAGCGATTGCCAGGTCCCTCACTGTCTCAGCTGCGCCATGGACGATATGTTCCAGGACTTCTACGCCCTCGAGAGTACCACCGGCTATACGGCGGCTAATATCCTGTCCGGATTTTGGATTTCCGAGAAGAAGGCGTTCGAGAACCTGGTGACGACTAAAGAACAAGATGCGCACGAATTCTTTCAGTTCTTGGCCGAGGAGCTGCACGAGAGGAACGGCGATGGCAAAAGGCCGGAGACTGGAAGCGAGCACAGCTGCAATTGTATCATTCACCAGACCTTCTATGGAAAACTCCAAAGCCAGACGACTTGCCAGCACTGCGGCGGCGTCACAAATGCCGTCGAGTCGTTCCTTGACCTCAGTTTAGGACTAGAGAACCTATCCCAGAAGAGGGGCAAGAAGGCCCCGAAGAACGGCCCGACCCTAACGCTGCAAGAGTGCCTCGACGACGAGTACATCAAGTCGGACAAGTGCGAATATCGGTGCAGAAATTGCAATTCATCGCAGCAGGCACGGAGGGATCACAGCATCAAGCTTCTGCCAAACGTACTCTCCATACAGCTGAAGGTGAGTTTCCCGCTGTGTCAGCCAGTTCTCGTAGCCAACCCCCCCCAAATTACTTACGAAGGCGGTCGTCAGAGATTTGAATTCAAGCAAGGGAGCCGTGACCGTGCTGCCTCGAAGATCAGCACCAAGGTGCAGTTCCCGTTGCAGCTGAATATGCTCCCGTACACTACCCGTGGTAGAGTGTCGGACACCAGGGAGAGCCAAGAGCTCGGCCGGTCTTGCACGTACGACTTATTAAGCGTCGTGGAGCACGTCGGAGAGATCGATACGGGTAAATGATATCGCAGCATGCTAGAAAAATATTCTTCGACAACTGACCAGCCAAACTGTAGGGCATTATGTCACTTATTCACGGGTTGGGGATCAAGTGAGATGACCCTTTCAAAAGAAGATTTTGAACAGCACTGATGTGGATCTAGTGGTTTTCGTTCAATGACCATAGAGTCGAGATCGCCAGAAAGTCGGACGTTCTCGGCAGCCAGGCTTATCTACTATTTTACATCATCCGGTCATTGGCGTAAGCAGAAGGGGTTTGTCTCATGTATCGACATTGGGCGGCGAGATCCTAAAGCATTTACATCAGTTTAAGGGGTTAAGAGGTCGGGGGGCATAGTTGACTCCTCGTTGCGTGTTTTAAATGATTGAATAAAGGGGCACTCCATAGAGCGATTCTATGGCCTTTTTTGTGCTATTTCTCGCTTCTTTCTCCTTGGGTTATGTACGGGCACCGTCGACGATAAATTAGCCGCCGCCAAATTATACTCATATATATATAACTTGTGTGCCGTTACTAGTGAGATTGTTGTAATCGCCTCACGGTGGACCCTTTCGGTCATGATCCTCGCGCTTCCTCCTTGTCAGGTTAGCAACGCTATACGGAAAAGAAGAGGGGGTTGAGAGGCTGTGGACGAAACGAGCCGACGATGCCATCCACAATATCTCTCGTACAGCCTCGTCGCCCTCCACGCAACAACGACGGTCAACCATTGTAGTAAACCCCGCTCCTTAGTTACTCCATGTCATAACGGAGATCCTCGAGGGAGATGTCCTAGTCGCAAAACGGTTGGGAAGGATGTGCTTATAGCGTACCGAGGAAGAATATAACGTGGTCCAAAATATTGTCTACGCTGAACATAAAGTCGTCGATGCCACCATCGCCCCTGTTGCCCCCCTTTTCCTCATCCCGGCCCACCGACAAAGGCCCCCGCCGCCGTCGCCCCGTCGAAGAAAGGGTGCACGTTAACCGCGCAGTAGTCAGACCGCGCGCACAGCTCCGGGTGCGCGAGCACGGCGGCGAAGGTGTCGACGACGACGACGGGACCGCCGCCGAGCCGATGTCGAAGATGCCGAGGAACAGCCGGTTGCCGTGCCTCGCGGCCGCCGCGTAGGCCGTCGCCACCTGATCGCAGTCGACGCCGTACAGGCGCACGACGCCGTAGTCCGGCGCGAACAGCGCAAAGTCGGCGTCGACCTCGGCTGCCGACTTGCACGAGCCGTCGCCCTTGTACGGCGAGTAGGTGATGCCGGGCGAGCGGCCGGAGCCCGAGCCGGACGGAAACGGAGAGGGCGGCGAGGCGGCATAGGACGCGGCCGGCGAGGAGTCCTCGGCCGATACGGGGTCTTTTACCAGCTCCGGCTCCTCAACTGGCGCGGGTTCCTTCGCGCGCGGGAGGCTTGCTGCCGGCGCAGCTGGTGAAGGGGGCGGGACGATCTCGACCGTGGTCGTTTCTGACGTCTTCGGGCTCTTTGCCGAGACAGGAGAGCGAGAGAGACTAGAGGCGGCCACATGATACTATGCGCGTTGACGTGATAACGTATAAGCGCAAAATCTAGGGGGCCCCGAGGCCGTGGTAAACAGATCAGAGTTTCATGAGCCTATATTGTCATGGAGGAGACTAGTCACCTTGACGGACCCACGGGCGAACGAACGAGGGGACAATAAAAGTGACGTGCAACGAGGCGAGAAACAAAAGAGGACATGAATCCGGTAGGTGGCACGTAATGGCCTTGAAGGGCTGTCCATCAGATCGAAACGTTTGCAAGGGGAGCAAAATACAAGAAGCGGACAAAGGAATGGCGCGGGGGCTTAGATCGTCAAGGAAGGGGCATATACGTGTACATTAGGAGGACCGGGTTGCGAGGTCGAGATTTGATCAGGGCTTGGGTGGCTTAAGAAAGCAAGGTCGACGTTATACGCCTCTCCCTCCCTTTCTAGTGGTGGCGGGAGTTGTCCCCGAAGCAACAGGGAAAGGCAGGGAGGTAGGGGAGGGGGGCAAGAAGAGACGAAATGGAATGCCTGCCCCACAAGAGCGTGAGAGCGAGGGCATACTGAAAGAAAGGGTGCACCTCAGGGGGGAAGGGGGGTGGGCATTGAGTCCGTGTCTCAGCAAAGGGGAACGCGCTTCCGACGTATATTAGAGGCTCGGCAGGGGATGAGAGGGCGAGTCCTACGTAGGTCTACTACTGCTCCATGAATTTAAGGCAATGTGCTTGAGGCACCCGGGGCAGATAAGCTGGGCGGTCTCGGAAGATACTTAATCGCGCACCCGTCGATACCACGCCTGGAGAGGGTCATGGGGAGAGGGTACGAATTGGTCGTCCTGGAATGGGCGAGGTGGGCAAGGCATTATTTAGAGATGACATTACAGACCTCTCAGACTGGCCAAGTAGATTTGTTTCCCCCGAGCACGAGCGACGGAGAGCAAATTTGGGATGAATTAGCAATTAGTAGTGTCGTTTGTATGTCTATATAAACCATCTCCAGTTTTCATTGTCACGTATCGCCGGTCTTTTCTCCCATCTCTCCCACCGCATAGATCATGAGGACCTTGATAGGCACGAGCCCTGATGTACAATATCGGTATACCCCGAGTTACCGCTGGTTGTCGTTCCAATACGACCGTCGCACAATACAAATATCTCCCCACTCGAGTCATACGTCTTGTATCGTATATCAAACTCATCGTGATATGACGTTAAGCAGGTAACGTGCGTGCGCAGACGGAGCGGTGGAAGCCCCCTAAGCGGCCATTGTCGATTGTCTAGTAGGCTTTCGGGTCATGATCTTGGTGATAGCATGACGGATCGTGACTCCGGCCTTCTCGATTTCCTTTTTGGACAACCCCGACGTGATGCACACCTTGAGCGCCGGCCGGATGTTGATTTCCTTGGTGCCGATACTACCCAACAAGGGCACGCTCTTCAGCCGAGTAACGAGCACTCCGTTGGCGAGCGCCTATATCCTCTATTAGCATTCAGATACTCTCAACAGTCCCGGAACTTTCGCTGAGAACACCGACCTCGTCCGCGATATCCAGCAAGAGTCGCTCCTGCTCGTCACTGCTCAGCCGCCTCGATTGCACCACCTCGGGCTTAAAGGCCAGTAGCATGACGGGGTTCTCCGGGTCGCTTGTGCACTGGACCCAGTCGCTCCGTGGGTCGAGTTGCGCCCTCATCGCTCGGATGTTCTCACGGCATTGGAGCAGAATATCGGGGTTACATTGCAGGACATTCAACGTCTCGCTAGCCGTAACAGCAGCCATAGCTGGTAGGGCGGCCGAATAGGTGTACGATGCCGCATTGATACGTTGATGCCGCACGACATCCTTCGAGCCGGCACAGAAGCCACCAGCAGCACAGAGAGGCCCGGCCAGAGACCCGATAATCATGTCCACCGCCTCCGAGTCGACGTTCTGCGCCTCGGTGAGCCCTCGGCCGTTGCGGCCGAGCACGCCAAAGGACCATGTCTCGTCAAGGGCGATGCGGAACTTGTATTTCTCCTTCAACTCAACCTAGAGATTTCCACTTCGATCAGTCATGTGGCGTAACAGATGCGGTTTTCTTCCCCCGAGGGGAAGGGGAAGAGGAGGAAGGAAGCCTTGGTTGGTTGGCTTACTTACAAGCTTAGGGAGGTCGGAGCAGTCGCCAACCATTTCGAACAGGCCTTCCGTCACGATGAACCGCCTAGTTAGAATCTTCTTCTTCGCCTGCTCCTCGGCTACCTTCTTCATGACACGTTCCAGATCCTCCATGTCGTTGTGTTCGTACCAGCGGATGTTGCTTCGAGAAGCCTCTAGTCCCTTTCGGATTGAGTAGTTGACCATCCTGTCGGCGACGATAACGTCGCCTCTCTTGCAGAAGGTAGGAATAACGCTGGAAATAGTAGAGAAGGCGTGGGAGTAGACGATGCTGCTCTGGGTACCTAGGAAAGTAGCGATGTCGTGTTCCGTCTTCATATGGACGTCCTGGGTGCCGTAAAACTGCGGCGGGCCGCAGGGGCCGACTCCGTAGGTGCGCAGGGTCTGAATGGCCTTGTCCTTGATCGATTCGCTGGCGTTCAAGTTGTAGAAATTGTACGAGGCTAAGTTTATAACCGTCTTGCCATTGGAGAGCTTCACCTTCGGACCAGTCGGTCTATGCGGAAACAAAACAAAGCTCGACGTCAGCACAATCATCGCCCTTCCTAGCTTTCCAGTGAAGGGAGTACGTAGAGTTACTTACCCGACAATAACAGGCTGCCTCTCGGCTTCGGCTTCCTCGAGGGCGGTCTGAGGAGGGACCAGGGGCTCGGGCTCCCATTCCCTAACGAGTTCGTCGATCTCGTCTTCGCGGAGCTTCACGTAGTTGGGGCCGTGGGTGGGATAAGATGGCGACAGCAGGTAGCGGACGAAGAAGATGACGAGGATAAGCTCTATAGCAGATCGGATGGGGTCATTCTGGTAGCTCGACTGTATATAGCGTATCAAGACGGCACTTCCGGGGACCTTCTGAAAGGTGTGGAATATTTCATGTAACGAAGCCTGCAGATAGACTTGGGCCTCGTGGAGGTCCATCTCGAGCCAAACGATTAAGCGATCAATGAGGGAAGCTCGCAGAAGCCGTCAGATGCGAAGACATCGGATTTCCGGGGCGGATTCTCGGGGTCAGGTCAACCTGGAGCGGTGGAGGCGTTGGAGGGCACGGATGCAAAGGATCTTATCGGGTTCTCAGAAATAAGGGGGGAGAAGAGGAAAAGACGGGAGAGGGTAGCAGATGCGGGAGAGAGGAGCGGGAAAAGGAAGAGAAAAGACGGATTAAGGAGCAGGTAAACCCGACGAAACAATTGCCCTTCATTTCGACGTGTCTGTCATCAGGGGCAGGGACCGCTTCAGAACGCGGTTTAGACCCTGCCTACAACCAATTACAGACTCACCTATATTAAGCGAACAGCAACAGTAAACTAGATGAATGCTTAACTACTTAATGTACTACATTGTCTTTAAAGCTTTCTTTAATTACTTAGAATATTATTTCATATTATCTAATATATTTTATACTATATATTATTTTAATATTTTAATATAGAAATATTAATATATATATATATAGTTATATAATAATAAGTAATAAAATGATAGAAATTATTTTTATTTATTTATTTACTTAAATTTCACCTCTTTCCTTTAATAAACTACCTTATTTTATCTTATTTAATTTTGCTTTATATAGACAGAAAGTACTTACGAATGCTGTTTATACTAGAAAGTAACCTTTTATTTTTTATATAAAAAACCTCATTACTATTACTTTATTATTTCGCTAACGGCGGCTCGACGTTACCTTAGTCTCGTAGGTTATATAGGGTCTGGTTAATGATCACATTTATTCCTCCTCTTATGACTACCAATTACTATGGCGCCCACACATCTCACTATTCAAAAACAGGTACCTATTAATATGGTACCAACTGCATACCAATTTTCAGGTTGGCAAAATTCTACGATATCATCGAAATCCAACACCTGCAGGTGAGCAGACAAACCGCAGAGAACTGCCACTTCCAAAATCACACCCGGTGTTAGGTTCTTCTGTTTTGATTTTGGGCATCGTCATACCTCAAGAGCCTGGGTGAAGGCTCGGCTTTCGTTGCCCTCGACCACTCTAGAGATGGGACTAAGATATGCGCTTCCCTCCTCTTCCGATTCGTCCGCGAGCTGCCGGATGTAGGATTCGGCGACTCGGATCCACGCCGCTCTCTCCACACCGCTAGCCCCCGAGCCCTGCCAGACCCAGATGGCGTCGCCCGTGTCGAGAAGGAAGACATCGTTGCTATCTAGATCCGCGCTGCTCATGCCGGCGCCCTCCTTGACCGTGTAGAATCTTAGCTGGCCAGAGGCATCCGATAGTCGGAATAACTTGCGAGTACGACCGGCCGCGCCCTGGGTCCGAAACGAGAAAATGGGTCGGGGTGCCCGGAAAGGCCCCTCGACGTCCTCACCACCGAGCACGGCGACGATGGCCCGCGACCTCGATTCGTTCTGCGACAGTACCTCGACATTGAGGTGCTTGGCGAGAGTCATATCGTGCACGACCTGGGCGGCCTTGGCCTTCTCCATGGGACTGCAGTTCTTGCCCTGCCAGACCCAGATCTTGTCGTCGCGCTCCAGCACGAAGACGTCATTCTCATCGAGGCTTTGCCAGGCAGGCTCGACTTCGCAGACCATGACCGAGTCAACTCGCGTCGCAGCGGGGTGTTTGAAGATGCGGAGGAGCACGAGAGCTTTGTCCGGCTCCTCCGTTTCGACGTGCGTGAAGCCGGAGCGCACGCCGCCCGACAGGATTCGGATGCGGGGGAATAAGGCGACGAACTCGTCCGAGGGCTCTCTCTGCAGCTCGCGATGCTGCGTGGCCACGCCATGCAAGAACTCGTCAAGCTCGACCGTCTTATAAGCAGCTGTGCCAGCCTCGTCCTGCGTCGTCTGGCTCCCCAGCCAGAAGAAAATTTCGTGGGCTAGCTTGTCCTCGCCATCGCCGCCCCCTGCCTTATAAGAGTACAAGATTATGTAGCTGTCCCCCTCGTAGAAGTCGCCATATTGGTCCTTCGGCCACGGCACAACCTCAAAGTTCTCCACTCGCCAGACGTAGAGACCGGGTGCTAGCCCAACTTCCCGCCAAGCCGGCTCGCTCGCTGCCGAGTTGTACTTGACCTGGTGATCAAATTCCGTCCCGATGTTCTCGACATTGCTGTCCCTCCAGTCGTATTCTTTCAAATGTACCAATCCCTCTCGCGGCGCCATAGTAGCTCTAAGCTATGACTTGGCAGTTTCTCAGCAGTGGGTGCGATGAGGGCAAATGTCTAGATGCCCTATGCAAAGGCAGGGCCGCGAACGGTGCCAGTTATCCAATACTATGGCGAAAGCGGCTGAGAACAATTCCGTTCATAAACGTTTAAGAAAGGCCATGATGCGGCTCCCTCCTCTGACCCCTGAAATAGTGTACATAATGGGATGTGGGACGGGGAGGCGGGGAAGCTGAAGGAGAGGAGGTTAGGTACCTGGTAAAATACGTCGAAGTACTTTGCGCTTCTCCACGTTTTCGTACCAAAAACCTAGGGCCTCTCTAAAGGGTAAGGAAAAAGGGGTAAGCAGGAATCAACGTTTAATTAAACTACGAAAAGGGATTAATTAGTAACTAACTTTCGATTAAATAAAGAGAAACTAACTTTGATAAATTTATATATAAATAAAATTAGATTACGAAAAGGAATTAATTAATAATTAATTTATAATTAAATAAGAAGAAACTAACTTTAATTAATCTATATATAAATAAGATTAAAATAAGTAGGAAATAGAATTAAATACGTTAATGAGTAAATAATAATATATATATCTTATTATATATACTGTAGTGGTGCGGTGGATCTAGGCTACGTAGCCTTTTCGATGTATATTTATATGGGTCGCGTACTTATATTTTCATTAGTTAGACTTAGACATATAGATATTATAGCCTATAGCCATTTATTCGTTTCTTGCTATGCCTTTTTAGCTATCCTCGTTTTTGCCTTTCTAGCCCCCTTTCCTAGCTGCCGTTTTTAGCTAGCCGATTAACCGATTATAGCTATTTATAGCTATAATCTTAGGTTAATCGGCATTAGGCCAGTTATTAGTAGTTAGGTAGCCCTTTTCGTGCCTCCGTTAGCGTACTTACGCTACTCCTGTTTAGTAGCGACCACCTAGTAGCCCGAGCCGTAACCTTATCTTAGGAGTAACCTTTTACGACCGTTTTTATAGTCATTAGGTTCAGGATACGTCGATTAGGAGATCCCCAGAGTTTCGTTTAATTAGGAGCTGTTTTCGTAGCTCCAGAGCCGTTTTTTTCGTAGCTTTCGGATTAAGCCTTTTCAGGTCAGGATTAACGGGAGGGTAGACAACCATAGCGACCATTAATAACCTACGCCCTCCCATTAGCTTTTAATTAGCTTACCTAAAAGCTCGTCCGCCGATTAGTAGGAATCCCTGTTCTCGTTTCTTAGTTATCTCTTTTAAAGGAGTTATGCCTGTTTTACCCGGTTTCGCCTTCGTTTTTTACCAGTACCTAGATAGCAGTTTTTCGCCCTTAGTTAATCTAACTAAGTCACCGCTACTACCCCCTTTTTATAACACGCGCTTAAAGGCAGTTAGTCCTTTCCGATCGGTCTATTTTAATCGCAAGAGGCTTGCCATCTTAATCGCCCTTATTTTATCCCTGCTAGCTAGTTACGGCACCTGGGGAGGTTTCTCCCTAACCGATAAGGTACCACGATGCCCTCAATTGCCACACGAAGATACCGACATACCTTATACCTACGAACCTAATCGGGGAACCTACCGATCAACGCGATAGACCTATAAACGATACCGCGATATACGAATTAAATAGGATATTAAACAAGAAAGCCTAGAAAAAACAATCATAAGTTATAGTCGGAAATAGTCATAGGTTAATGCCCGGAGACCCCTCTTATCGCCTTTACCGATATATAGTTGGTAGGAAGAGCCTAGAGAGCCCCTAGAACCACGTACAGGGGAGGGATCGAGGGTCAAGGGAAGCCCGGTAGATGCTGCCGGACGAATAATAGTTAGATACGAGTTAGAAACGGAAACAGACGGGCATAAACAGGATATATTAGTTAGTTTATAAAATCAGGATCAATTAAAAGGATCGGTAAAAGATAGCCATGGACGAAAAGGACGGAGATTACGTTATATCGTATGGGGATTATTTCTTTCGTTTCTTACGGGAGTTACGCTTGTTTTACCTACCCGTTATAGTTCCTGTTTTCCTAACGGATTCCTATTATTTCTTAATAACCCTAATGGACCTGGCTCGCTCCCAGTTAATTAGGGTTAATTAGGAATAGGTTAATTAGGTTAGTTTATAGGTTATAGCTCCGCCAGCCTAGTTCTTATTATCAGGTCTTTCCTGTTTCCTATTAATCGTTAATTAAACTAGCTTAGCTCCCAGTTAGTAGCGATTAAATAGGTTCGGGATTAATCAGGATTAGGCATAGTTAGGCACGGTTACAGTCACCTACCCCACTACCTACTTATTATTATTATAATTATTCCCAGTTAACCCTGTTTCTTCCTAACTTATCCTATTGGTCTTTAATTAAACTAGCTAGCTCTCAGTTAATTAGGGTTAATCGGGATTAGGTTAATTAGGTTAAATAGGAACGAGAGCCACCGTACCTATTATTAGGAGTTTAATTACTCCTTACGGATTAATTAAACTAGGGAGGCTATAATAGTACGGTGGATCTAGGCCACGTAGCCTTTTCGATATATATTTATATAGGTCGCGTACTTATTTATATTTTCATTAGCTAGACTTAGATATATAGATATTATAGCCTATAGCCATTTACTCGTTTCTTACCATGCCTTTCTAGCTATCCTCGTCTTTGCCTTTCTAGCCCTCTTTCCTAGCTGCCGTTTTTAACTAGCCGATTAACCGATTATAGCTATTTATAGCTATAATCTTAGGTTGATCGGTACTGGGCCAGTTATTGGCAGTTGGGTAGCCCTTTTCGTGCCTCCGTTAGCGTGCCTACGCTGCTCCTGTTCAATACTATAGTTATATTAAATATATTTCTTTTAAGTAAGTTATATTAACTTTTAACTAATTAAAATACGCATATAAACTTTTAGTTAATAAAAATAAAGTTTTTTTTTCAAATTTATCGAGGTATATATTAAGAAGGAGCAGAGCGTACGCGATACTAGAGTCCCGAATAAGCTTACTCGAAAGTATACTCTATCGAAGACTATAATACGTACGATAGTTTAAGATAGATAAAATTAGTATCGCTATATTAATCGAGAAACGAGGAATCTAATATAGTTATCGTATTTTAAGTATGCCCCTTAGTCGTAGAGATGTAGTAGTTGCTAGCCCGAAGGTATAAGAAGTAAGGAGAGAAAAGAGGCTAAATGTAAAAGTTACTTATTCGGCTATAGCAGTACGACGAAGTAACTTAAGCGCTTATAACTAAGATAGATATATTAGTTAGAAAACGATAAATCTAATAATAAAAACGAATCCTTAATTAAAGTAATAATAATAAAGTTAGTAATTTAATTAAGTAATAAACTAAATAATAAATATAGTATAGCCCGTACTTACGGGAGCTATGGTTATTCTATATAGGTATAAAGCCTATCGTAACGTGTTATGTAATACATCAAGAGAGCATGTCTTACCATATCACTATAATATTATAATGGTATAGTAGGATATACCCTTTTGATATATTACGTAATACGCTACGATAGGCCTTATACCTATATAGAGTAACTATAGCTCTCATAAGTGTAGATTATACTATGATTATTTCTTAATAAGATTATCAACTTTATTATTTTTACCTTAATTTAAGATTTGTTTTTATTATTAGATTTATCGTCTTCTAATTAATATATCTGTCTTAGTTATAAACGCTTTAATCGCTTCGTTGTATTGTAATAATTAAATAGATAACTTTTACATTTAGCTACTTTTCCTTTTCTACTTCTTTTACCTTTAGGCTAGCAATTATGATATCTTTATAACCGAGAGGTAAACTTAAGATACGATAACTATATTAGATTTCTTATATCGTAATTAATAAAGTTATATTAATTTTATCTATCTTAGATTACCGATAAAGAATACTTTTAAATAAGCTATATAGTACTCTAGTATCGCGTACGCTCTGCTCCTTCTCAGTATAAGGTTATTTATAAAGCTATTTACCTTTATAATTAATTAGCCATTGTAATGATACAGTGAAACTAGGCTACGTAGCCTTTCGGATATGTATTTATATAGGTATCACACTTATATTTTCATCAATTAAACTTAAACTAGTAGATATTAGAACCTACAGCTATTTACTCGTTTCTTGCTATGCCTTCTTAGTCGTCCACGGCTATCTCTTATTCTCATTTTTCCCAGCTGCCGTTTTCAGCTAGCTGATCAACCAATTAAAGCTGTTTATAGCTATAAGCTAGTTCGATCGGCACTAGGTTAGCTGTTATATCACGTAGAGGTTACGTCTCTTTGTTACTTACCTCAGCAATAGGAGCTCCTATATATACGCTCCCGTTGCTTCTATTCCTTTAGCTCGTTCTTAGATAGATTAAAGACCTTTTCTCTCCTTTCGCTCCTCTTCCCGTTATTTGTAAGATAGCTCTCTACGCGCGCTCTCGCGTACGTAGCTCCAGCTACGTAACATGTTAGTAGTTGGATAGTCATTATACGAGCCTCCAATAGTATACCTACGCTGCTTCTATTAAATACGAGCAGCGTGGGCACGCTGTGATGGAGGTACGAGAAAAGGGCTACCTAACTGCCAACAACTGGCCCAGTGCTGATCACCCTAGATCACAGCTGTAAATAGCTGTAATCAGTTGATCGGCTAGCTGAAAACGGCAGCTGGGAAAGGGACTAGAAAAATAGAATGGCAAGAGGCTAGAAAGGCATAGTAAAAGGAGTAAATAGAGCTGTCAAGTCGTAATGCCTTTTTAGATTAAGTCTAACTGATAAAAATATAAGTGCGAGACCTATATAAATACATATCTAAAAGGCTACGTGGCCTAGTCCTACTGTACTATTATACTATTTACTATTTACTCTTATAATTAATTAGCATAATATAAGGTTAAACGTAATAAAACTATTCTTTAAATAGAATTAAGAGCACTATATATAGTTATATATAGGTAATTAAACTTGAAATATAATTTTTTAAAATTATAGTTATTAATATTAACTTTAATATTATATTAAAAGTATAATTAAAGTAATAATTTAATAATTAATAATTATCATAATATAATAATTTTAGAAATATTATTAATACTATATTATTATTATATTTAAGTTTTACTTTTATTTTTTTATAGTATCTAGAAACTTTAAAAACTTTAAAAATGTAGTAAATATAGATACTACGTACCTATAGGTGCCTGGGGAGGCTAATATAAGGGCTTAATATGAGAACTGGCGATAAGGTACCTACCTAGCAGGGAACTAACCTACCTAGGTAGGTAACTTCATGTCTGTCTTATATAAGAAATAAGAAAATAACAATCTAACCACACATACATCACCAACCCGCCACTGCACGCGCTATCACGCTGAGTGCAACACAAAACACAACACTAGAAGCCAAAAGACTCCCCTCTCTAGGTAGCTAAACAAAAGAGGAACGGAGCGAAGCGAGGCCTCGCATGAGCCTAGGAGGGGAAATATGTCAAACAACGACAGCACGTCCCAGGACTTCACATCCTACTATCTCCAGCAGAGCACCAAGGAGTTTGCCGAGGATCTCGACAAGATCCGGGGCGCCGCCGACTTCAACAGCGACACCTTAGCCATGCTCGTCAAGTCACTCCAGCAGGGCACATCTCTATTCTCCGCTGCCAATCAGAAGCGGTTCCTCGACGCGCAAAAGGCTAAAGGGGCAGCAGGGGAAAAGAGGTGATGGCAATAAGTGGGTGGGGAGGAAAAAGGGGGGGGGGAAAGGACCACGAACAGCAGGCAGGAACACGGACAAGATAGGGAGAAGCGTGAAGAATAAAAGGACAGCAAAGAGTCATTTAGCGACACATTCGTTTTACCCACGAGATACGCTAAATCACGCAATCGGATCCAGGTCTCACCCATTAACCACCCCAACCCCCGTAACATCAGGTATAAAACGGTGGTAACTATTAGATTATTTAAAGGGCGCGTGTCGCTAGTCGTTAAGCCTACTCTTAAGCGTACTATCTACGACTGAGCGGTGACATGTAACGCAAGTATCCAGAGATGATGGCAAAAGCTGCGAGGCCTAGAGAGCTCTATAGCGAAATCAGTACGACACACATACCCATTCACACCTAGAACACTGCTAAAAAAAAAACACGCTTGGGTTTCTACAACCCCATGATGGCTGTCAGTGCACGAGTAAGTGACAAGAGGCATCAGGTAAGTGTAACGGGAATCCTCATCATTATTGAACACCATCTCGTTCCGGTCTGGGACAAGACGGAATGAGAAAACTAGCAAATATTTATGGTCACGATTCTAAGGAGAATGGAAAATACCCTGTGCCATGCCATCCTATTTTGACCACCACGCAGCACTCCTAACAACCTTCAATATCACACCGGCCGCGCTCCCACCAATTTCCAATTGGTCGGGGGTGGGCTTGCAGAGAGCAATTCTAGAGTACACAGGTAGTCGCCGGCCACATGTCTATCAGACGAAACGGAATTTATCGCGAGTGTTGGACGCGGTCGTAGTTGCCGCTGCAGCCGCAGTGTTGGTCATGGATGCCAAGCCGGGACCCGTGTAGTTAGGACGGCCAGTACCCGTCTGCGTCCGGTTCCGCGTGTCGTTATGGTCCTGGTTCGCCGGTTGGGCCAACGGGAAAGGGAGCTGGGCGGATATCGACTTTGATATGTTAGGATCGATGTGCTTGCCCGCTACGGCCGGCCCAACGATGAGACCGAGGAATACCACAAGCAGAACGAAGTACAGGACGGCATAACGGATGACTCGTCTCCTCCTGAGTTTCGACTGCTTCATCGAATAGATGGGCGGGCGAATTTGACGACTAATTGCGCGCGAGTCAGTACGGAAAATGGGGGTGTCAAGACGGTTGAGAAACGGATTAGATCAGACGACATACCTTGGTCGCAGCCAAAAGAGCATCATCGAGTGGAGCTTGTCAACCTGAGGGATGATGATGACAGGAAGCATCATGAATAGGAGGAAATGGCCGAGAATGAAATCGGAGGCGAACATGGTCAACTCGGTAATCTTGCAGAGGAATTCACGCGCCGGCTGGGAAATCGAGTGCCAGCCCATAGAGTACCACTTGCCCGTCCAGAACGCGATGTTAGACTGATCCGTCTTCATCTCACGGGTGAGCGCGAACGTGATGATGATCTTCATGATAAACCGCTGCAGCGCCACGACAGCAATCATACCCAAAAGCGTCTTGGTGAAGTCGAAGCCCTCCAGAAAAAACATGACTTCGAAGAACACGAGAAGTCCGATGACGGCGATGGCGTGAGCAATGGCTGCGAGGACACTACCGAACTTCTTGCAGCACATGCTCAGCAGCGGGCCCATGCAGCAAGCCATGCCAAAGAAGGCGGCGAGTACGCCGGCATTGAGGGCAATGGGAGCGAAAGCAACGATGCCGACGCGAAGAAGCGAAGCGGTGGCTTTGGCAGATGGATCGAGACTCGGGACACCCGTCTGCGCGTTGATAAACAGGTAAGGCAGTAGAGTGCAGGCCACGAAAAGCAGAGGGGCGATGATCTCGCCAAAGAAGAGGTTGGTGATGGCCGCGCGAGGTACGTCAGCGGACAGCTTGCCAGAAGGGTCACCTAGAACCTTGCGCTTGTAGCCCGTGGTCCTCGTCCGCGAGAGACGACAGAAGGAGATCCACGACGACGCGTGACTAAGGGAGTTACCACGCGAGAGCCATCGGAGGTAATCACGATAGTCGATGAAGAAGTCATTCCAGGCAAATTGGTGAGGGTTGTAGAGGAACGGCGAGATGACTAACGCAAGCAGCGAGACCCAGAAATAGACCAGGGCGGCCTGCCAGATGGTCAGTGTAGCGAAAAGCAACATGATCAGGAGACGCGCTCCGAAATAGATCGAGGGACCGGCGAAACGCGAGAAGAGGACGCCGAACGGGATACGCGCAGTGGCAAAACCACGACCGGTTCCGATGTAGCGGGCGCCGCCGAAAGACAAATCCTGAGTCACAGAGTTGGCGTAGATCTGGCAGACGAAGACTTCGAAAAACGGAGAGAGCGAGCAGAACTGCTTGGCCAATCGGGTTGCGGCGCGGAGGAGACCACGTTCCGTGACTTCTTGGACAATCAGAGGGACGAAGGCCAAGAAGAACACGACGAAGATGGAAATGACGCATCGATAAATCCAGTCCATGAGGGCATCGGTGTTCTGGCATCCGGTAGGGAATAGGGGATCCGTGATCGGGACGTTGCGATTGTAATCGCATGCAATCGTCTGGTTTCGGAGGGCACCGACATTGATGAGGACGATCATGAACATCTCGACAGACAACATGATGAAGATGTTGTTCAAGTGGAAACCGGCGTGGGCGTAGTAGAAGGACAAGAAACGATCGAGGGGGAGCTGTGTACCCAGATAGTAGTACTCTCTCGAAAGCATCTGCTCGCCCATACCAGTGCCGATCTTCGTAGTGAAGTTGAGAATTGACCCGAACCCGAGATCACGACCCTTACCACACTGGTAATACTCGCAGTGCTTGATACGACCACCGCGGAGCAAAGCATTCATGCCGGCGTAGATATCTTCGTTCAGGTGAAGACCTTTCTGAGCCTTAGAGACACCGCCCCGCGTGTTCATAAAGATACCGTTGAGGAAATCCGGATGGCCGTAGTGAAGCTTGCCACCGATCTGGGACAATGTTCTGGCGAATAGGGTACCGAAGGTCTGTTCCTTACCGGCGGCGATATCACCGAGGATACCAATGTTCTCCGAGAAGATGTATTCACGAGCACCCAAGATGGCGACGGGTGCGACGGATTCGGTCTTCACACCCGGGGTATAGGGAGAAACGTTGTCGCTCGTCATCTCTTCAAATTCGGCTAGCACGGAGCGGATCTTTAGACACTCCTCGAGATAGTTATCCTGGTTAGCATCGATAAGCTGAATATACTCGCCGCGATAGAAGATGATGGCGTGATTTTGGTTGTCCGATTTGCCGTCACCGAGAACCGGGTTGCCGGAAAGCTGGATGCGGAACTTAGGTCGGCGCATGCCGTTCTCCATGATCTCAGAGTGCCCATCGATAAGGGCAGAGTAGATACGCGGCTCGCTGCCTTCGACCAACGGAGGCTCTTCGTCGAGGTAGGCAATCTGCAGGTCGGGGTATGCTCTGAGGAGAAATTCGGCGTTCTCCATCTCCTCCTTCTTAAATTTGGCATAGCGCTGCATGGATACGACGAGCTTGAACTTGCGACGAGCCATTCTCTCCAATTCGCGTTCTAGCTTGTCAGAGTTACCACCGAACATTTGGACGACTTCCGGGTTCTCAACACGATACAGCAACTTGATGGCGCGACTATAGTTCATGAAGCCCGAGATTGTACGATACAGAGTCTGCGACCGGAGGGATGCCCAGATACGTGTACGAAGCGTATACTCGGGGGCAGAAGACTTAAAACCGATGCAGTAGAAGGGTAGGTCGTCGATCTTGCTTTTCGCCGTGTCCTTCTCAGATTTTTCCTCATCGCCATTGAATTGCGAAGTCTCGTCGGCAAGAATCTTGGTGTCCTTGACGAAGCAGTCCCATTCGTGCGGGTGGAGTTGCTTGAGGTACTCGAGCTGCGTGACCCGGGAGTACGGCTCGTCTTCGCGGATAATCTCACGCAAGGTCAGAAGAATCTTCTCGCCGTAGTGGGGAATCAACACGGTAAACGTCGGCATATTGTCAACCGGCACAGGCTCGGGGATGGGGGTAGACAGAGATTGAGCGAAGAACGAAATGCGCCGCTCTGCTTCACTATGCGTGGGGAAGAACTCGGTCTTGAACGAGTGGTCTTCCTGAGACACAAAAAAGGTAGGGGCGCGTAACGTTCGCTTGCCTTCCTGCTCCGAGGGAACTTGGTGGTAGAGAAGTTTCTGAACGTGGTCAATGGCTAGCAGGTGCTCCCGATACATGGAGATGACGATAGCATTCCAGATTTGCGATATCAGAACTTTGGGCTTATACTTAATCTCCATGTCGGTAGTGGCGAGGACTTTGGAGTAGATTCGCTTGGGCAGCCGAGAGAAAATGTTACGCCACGGCGTCAAGATAGACGAACCGAGGTAAAACGATCTCGCGATCGAGATGACAGCGTTCAGCAGGACATACCACATGTAGGTGTCCAGGAAGAACAAGATCAAATCGGTAATGATCATGAGAATTAGAACGACTGTTGGCTGTTGCTGGCAGAGCATAGGTCCTATGTGGGTGTCTCCGAGGCAAGACGAGACATCCATGATCATGAGGTAGCGGATAGGGTCTCGGATGGACAGGGTTAGGTAAACATACGACTCTCCGAACTTCGCACCGAAGACAGTCGCCCACAGGAAGTATGACAGCGCCCTGTCGTTGCCTTTCAGATGCGGCCAGCTGGCGGTGAATGTCTGGCTAGCCACGTAACGGCGAGAGTTCTTCGTCAGATAGCTACCGAAGAGGCCACCGAGAGGCATGATCGCGAAGAACAGGAAGGTGATCAGGGCGATAAAAAACTGAACGATGCCCAGAATGAGGGCGGGCTGCTCTTCTTGCTTATCGGGGAAGCCGAAGATGTAGGCGCTAGGGCCGATGTTGAGGATAAGCATGAAGATGAGGAAGATGAGACGTTTCGTGAGATGCTGAGCTCCGGACCAGTGGCGAGGGACGTATGCCCACTCTGCGCAGGTCGCGATGATCTGAATTATGCAGGGAATGGCGCCGCCGACACCCACAATGGACCATTGCGCAGAGGCTGGTGGCTGCTGGTTGACTTGCTGCTCGTACGCAGCTCCAACCAGGAGAGTTGGGGCATTGTGGGCGGTGTAGAACCAGAACATGGTCAAATGAATAATCCAAATGCGGTTAAAATTGAGAATCATGTGGAACCACGACCGCGTTTCTCTGTAGGTCTTGAAGAAGCACTTCTTCCAGTTCACATCCTTCAGCTTCATGTAGCGTTCCGCAGGGGGGACATCGACCAGCTTGCTCTTGTCTTCGAGAACGATGCGTTCGATACCTTCGGGATACCAGAATAGCTGGTTGCAATCATCGTACCCGATAATTTGGTTGTGATCACGCTCACGTCGAATATACTTGCCATCCGAGATCTCGTAGCCTTGATCTCTACAGTACTGATAAAGTGGCGTGATCACATTGTTCAGGAACGTACCTTCCTCGACTGGTTCGACTAGGTTCTGGCACGCCGGTGAATTCAAGTAATCGTCGGCGCACTTAAAGATAAAACAGAGGCACTCGGGCATGAATCGGACCTGGTTTGCTTCGCCCCAGCAGAGAAGGAACAGTGCGACCTGGCGCACGCGATCGTGCTGGGACATGCGGTTCATGCGTGTCTTCCAGCGGTACTCGGCAGCTTCGAGGCTGTCATCGCCCTCCAAATCTTCTAGAACCTCGTCTTCGGTCTGATCGCCTTTCTTGCTCTTCGCCTTCTTCTTGGACTTGCGAGATTTCTTCCCCATGTTCGCGAAGCCAACAGCGTCGTCGAGATCAAGATGAGCGGCGAAATACCACTTCCGATAGTTGGCATTGTCGCCGCCAATGTAGTCCGCATGGAGCGACAGTAGGGCTTGGTTGGGAGTCATTCTGGAAGCTCTCGAATCCAACAGGACCATGAGATGGTCGTACATGTTCCGCATACTGTCGCGTTGGAAACCGAACTTGTTTGCGAGGTCCAAGAAGATATCCTCAATCTCTTCCTTCGACAAGGGTATCTGCGCGTCGGAGGTCCACGCCGGGTATGGCTCCCGGGATCTCTGAGTATTGGGCATATTGCCATAATCCATTCCATAGTTAGGCGTCGAAGCACCAGATGACCGGTTCCCGCCGTATGATACCTGCGAAGAAGGTGGTCGAAAGCCTCTAGCACCTTGGCCTTCGTTGTAGCCGCTATACCTCTCGTCGCCGCGACCATAATAGTCCATCTCGGCGGCACGGGCCATGTCGGACCTCATAGTGAAATCACTGAATGTTTCCGAGTCTTCCTCGGAATCGCCCCGTCGCTGACCATTGGTACCTTGCCCATACTGGCCGTAATAGCCAGCCTGGTTCTCGTCGTAATATTCGCCTTGATACTGATCGTGGCCGTCGTAATAACCACCTTCGGCAGCGTAGGGATTATTGGGGTCGGCATTATAATAGCCGCTATACACCTTGTCAGCACCATCCTGTTGCTCGTTTCACCCTCTACGATGTGCAAACTGTAAATACTCACGATTCGTCATAGTAACCGTCGTTAGGATTGGCGTTATTGGGTTGGCCGCGGGCGTCTTGGCCATTCCCGTTGTCATAGTATCGACCGTTTTGATCGTCTTGATAGTACGAGTCGTGGTTTTGCCCGTAGGCATCGTTGTAGTCATTACGACCACCTCCCTGATACCCCGACATCTTGGCGGTTCGGGGCTACGCGCGAAACTTGAACAGGAACTGCAAGGGTAGCATCATTAGACGAGTGCCAAGTGCATGGGCAGAAGGATACGCAAGAGCAGGTCACAGGGCAGGATATTCGTAGCGCGTGTACTCACGAATTAGAGAATCATCAGGTAGACTCAGCTGCGGTGGAGAATGTTTAGGACGGAGGCAGAATTAAGATTATAAGTGTAGTGATGTTCGAGTCGATGTGGCCGGCCACGGGCAGAAGTTGATCCTTGTGACTGGGTGAGGATGTAGTTCGATGATGGCGATACGGACTGTTTGTTTGTCGACTTGGTACGTGTTCTGTGTTTATGTATACGTGCTGTGTGTATACTAGGTCGGAGACGGGACCAGCAGGCGGGAGACGGACGATTCACTAGCAAAGGTCGATTGACTTATTTTGCGGGCTGCCCAGTTGGGTCCGTTGACAGGAGTGATGGAAGCCAACGTAGGGGGGAGGGATTAGCGCCGGCGAGCCCCTGACCAGGTGGGGAGAGAACACGGCAGGCAATTGACGGTCAAAGCAGGGCCGTTCGCTGGCAACGTGCTGATTGGCGAATCTGGAGAATTCCAACTGCAAATACGCCCGTGGCTCCTCTGGTGTCTTCCTCGGCGGATGGCCCGGTCTGTCGATACTTCCTGGTGGGCGATGGCTCAATCGTGCTTGACAACTGACACCCGATTCCCCAAGGTCCGCGGACGACGCCTGTCAGAGAGCCGGATGGAGGGGGATCTGTCTGGTGTTCAAGGTCGGCCTCGGCTGCGGTCCGCAGAACGAAAGTCTGCCACGGTGAAATTCAACGGGCGGAACGACGGAGACAAGACCGTTGGGTGGTGCCTCGCCGTAACGAGAGGACGCGGGACTGGCAGGTTCGCCCGACGTGTCTCGTGGTGTAGGGATGGCGTACGATGTATAGAGAACGATGTACGGGGTTGTCGAATTCTTCCCTCGTTCGCGTTTCCGTACCCTGGGAATCCTCGCGCTCTTCCTGACGGTTTCCACGCAGAGACGAAGCGACAAGACGGCAACAAGAAAGGCAGGAACAGGAAGAGGTTGGGGGGGGAGGGGGGGGAAAGGAGTGTCGAGAGAGAGAGAGAAAAAAGAAGAGCGAGCAGTGGTTGTTGGTGGACAAAAGCGAATGTAAAACAAGTAACGAATTTTGTCATGGGGCGGGGGGAAAGGGGGATGAATGGAAACTCGGAGATCGAGAATCAAGAGAGGAACCGGAAAGGAGAAAAGATCCAGGGGGATCGGACGGGCAGAACTTAGCGCAAGCCCAGTCCGCAGGTTTCGTTCACTAAGCACCTCACGTACCTACGATACCGTGCATATACATAGCAGGTACGTACTACGTAATAGGCATATACCCGCGCGTATCCCTCCCTCCCTTGCTGCGCAGGCGAGCAGGGTCGGGTACAGTGCCTGCCGGTTCATCACACACCGTATACTCAGCCCCTAACTCAGAGGTATTCCGGTACCTTGCCTGTACTAATAAATCCGAAAGCCAGCCATCTAATGTACCTACCTTGGTCCATTACCTCGTATTCCACTGCATTCTTTTGCGATGCAGGTACGCATTTCAGTAGCTTCTTCCGTCTGCCTAAGGTCCGAACCTTGATCGGGCGATATGCCCAGGCTAGCATTTGAATTATATAGGTACATAACCCTTTATGCCGTCAAGGAAACGGGGCTGACTGATCCTACGCCCACTGCTAAACGTACCTACGTGTAGGTGGTGCGCACCTGGCATGCGAGCACCTAAGGTACCTACCGACTTCTGTGTACATGTCCATACTATAGGGAGGCAGGCCTCTTATCCCCCCCTTTTTTTTTTAATCTCCAGTTTGCAAATAGGGACAGCAAAGATTGTCCATACCTCCCTAACCGTGCTTGGGACAGTGCATATATACATAGGTATGACAGAGGGTAAGATCATGATATGAGACAGACCTAACCAGGAGGGCAAAGATGGGACGTGGCTATGTAGGTACTTACTACGTATTGTGGGGCCACTCCCTGAGGCAATGCAACGAAAGGGGTGAATCCGCCTCCTATCGGTACGTACCTGGTCCCAGCCTTTGATTTGCTACCTCCCGGACGTATTCAGCTATCTGCTGTAGGCTCTTCTCTTCACTGCAGCGTGTTAGAGAATGACGTTACGCTAGAAAGGACTGCATATCAAGGTACCTGAGGCAGGTACCCATGTACTCAGCCGTGACAAGTACCCATGGATCCGCATATACGTACCTACCAGGGATCATTAGCATACGTAGTACCTAATATACCCATGTAGATACTTACCTCCTACCTGTCCTTATGTAGCCATGAGGTCTGTAAGGTTAGGTAGGTATCTACCTGATGTACGTGTAGGTTAGTTACTAAAAGAAGCCCTCGAGGATCAAGTTGCAGGAAAGATGTGTCTCTCTATTGGCTGATAAGTTCGTCATGAGCAAGGGCCAGGTATAGGGGCAGACAGGTTATGCTGTTGTCGTAGTAGGATTTCCAGTGCTCACTCATATTGTGAGCAGAGTAACTACCAGATCTACTCGTCATGTATGTCCATCAAGCCATCCGAGGTGCTGCTTATCGACTATGTATCAGCAACTACTAGTTTTAAACGCTTAAGGTGTTCCTATTTAGCAGTATTATATGGCTGCTTCCCGCCTTAGAATGTATGTAGGCTAAGTTACCCATGATAAATATCCTCAACCCAGGTCGACCAGTCCCAAGTTAATCGTCCACTATGATTCCTATTCCTCCTCTCCAGAGAAAAAAAGATGTGGTGCGAACCAACATCGTATTTTCCTCGTATTTTTAGCTTCGCCCGCACCCAACCAAATCGCCTTCTTCCCCAACTTCTCTCTCCCTCTCTCTCTCTCTCTCTCTCTCTCTCTCTCTCTCTCTCTCTCTCTCGCCACCCGTGCCCAGCAGGTGATTCGAGACGGGAAATACGACCTGCGTGGCGCTGCCAATGCAGTTAGGCGTCGCTGCGCGTCCGCGAATATGCACGCGCATGCGTACATGGGTACACGTTCGTGTATGGTGGGGGTGATAATACGTAGCGAGTGACGCAAACCCAGCCCGGCACCTCCAGCTATGGCTACGCCACGCCAACGTACCTACATATACAGGTAGGATCGGAATGCGTACTCTCCGTACGTGCTCGTTAGGTTCAGTGCAACGTCATAGAATCGGACCTAAGTTGGACGCATCGCCGGCCGGTTTGAAAAGGGAGGGCTACACATCCATCCCAACCTCCCAGCCACATCCCATCTCAGCATATCCTATCGATGGAAAAAAGCTCTGTCGGTACCGCATCGCACGCACCAGCACGATGTTGGCAACAAGCGATGGGGTTGTGCGGTGGTGGCGTCCAATGCCATGCTCGGCTGGGAGGGAGACGCGTCCAACGCCTCGAGGGGCTAGTAATATTATAGTTGCATGCAGGTACCGCTGGTTTCCCGTCTCTCGCGCATGCAATACGATAATAACCTACCTTGCCTTTCTCTCGAGTGCCTGAGGCATCCCGCTTTCGATGACGAATTTCCGCACATACCTATCTACCTACCCACCAACCTACCTACCTACATACCTAGGTACCTAGTTATACTGAGTTGTACGCTGAACAAAGGTATCTACCGCACAGGCATACCTAAGGCACATAGCAAGCAGTGACTGTATATGGGTACGCGTATGAGTAAAGCTGCCTCTTACCTCCTACCCCTAGGTACCTAGGTATCTAATCCGCCCCAACAGCTCCGGTCTTTGCGTGACAGCCAGGTGGGCAATCCAACAAACAGCATTGGGTCCTACCAGAACGAGGACCCCGACTCTCACGCTCTTATCAATTGCCTGTAGTATGCTCTTCCGATCCATAGTAACCAACGATGGGATGTGTGTTTTCCCAGCTGGCGAGCAAGTTGGGGACGAACAGACCCTAATCCAGAGACCGCCGCATAGGCATAGGTACCTTTAGGTAGTAAGTGAAGGCAAGTCCTACTAGCACTAGGTACCTCCCACTGTGGGAAGGGAGCGCGAGGATACCCTGAGAAGACGAGAACTTGTAGACTCTACGTAGGGGTTAACATTTAGATAAACCTCATCTTCCTACATAGAGAGGTACCTATTCAGTGGATGCTATGTAGGTACCTCTAACAGCACTTAACCCATGCGGCGCCTCAGCGTTCGTATGTGCGACGGCACAACTAAATAGTAGCAACATAAAGATCCGGTTATCCCATCGGTAGGAGGACGGTGTGAGGTGCCATGTGTAAGCAAGGTATTATCCATCTCGCCTTAAGAAGGTACCTAAGATACCTATGCTACTGCCGGTCTGTCTTCTTTCTATCCTTTGTCTCTCTGGCGCCGACGCACACCAATAATAAACAGGCTTAACCAGAAATACGCAAGGCTCAGGGACACCTATGCAGTAAGGTAGGTAGGCAGCCTCCTTTACTAACACCCAGCCCCAGTACGCTCCTAGGTAAGCAGTCATTTGCAGTTAGTATCGCCATCCTCCTGATTCCACCTCGGAGGCCTTTTTTTTTTCCTTTATTCCACTGATCCATACCTCTATAGACTATACCTATATAAGCATGCGCAGCACAGCACGCACTAATAGATAAGTATACTAGTTTTTATACACCTACCGCGTAGATGCCAGCGTCGCATCGCGTCCGTTGATCGCTAGACGTTCTATTCTTGGATACCAGTTAGCGACGACGTCCTGTGCACCAAACAAGCACATATCCACTCTAACGAGGTACTAGGAATGCCAATACTAGACCTGCATTAGCGAAGGATTCACAGAGGTATTAGGTATGTATTCCTTCTCTCCTTTAGGGGCAGGTATTCTCTATATATGGACATTACGCCCTGCCTGCCTAGGTATGTACCTCCCTCTTAAGGTTGTTAGTTGGACGGTACATACCTTAGGTACCAAAGGTTCAACATGGTACAGGTACCGACGCAAGTACCTACCTGCCTACTGGTATAAGTAAGGGCCATGTCGGGAAGGAAGAGGGTTCGGAAGGCTCGGGTGGCCCTAGCGTCCAGCACTAATTAGGTAAAGGACCTAAGGTACGGTACGTAAATACCTACCTACTCATAGATAAGAGACCTCCGTTTAGCGCCATATGGTACTTAGCTACGTCAACAGGCTCCTTACGCTGTTCCATGTTACATGTAACGGGCAAGTAAACTCGATAAAAGGAACTTCCATCACAAACATGAAGTCAAGAAACAAACTGAACTAGTTACAACAGTTGCATAAGCAGGCCGGGTGGGGTTGTTAACCTGCCCTGAGGTTGTTCGATCGGAATATTCTACGCATAGCACAACCCAAACCCCGTGCTTATGTAACAAAGCCTAATGTGGGCCATATGCGGTCCTCACCGCCAGTCCTTCGTTCGTTGCCTGGCAACGGCCCCGTTCGGAGGCAGAACAACCCTACCAAAAAGTAGAACTCCTCTGAGCTCCCGACTTAGTAGGATATACCTACATACATCTCACGAACATCGTATTGCAGCCATGCCCTATATACACACATAGGTACTTCACGCTTTTCTACTGCGAGGCCGTGTTTATTTCAGGAGGCAGGACGGCGCTTTACAATGCCACCGTATACTACCAGCAGGGGGAAAGGCAATGACAGTGTGCGAGACCGATCGGGCAGCGACGACGACGAGTTCCCAGACGTGGACCTAATCGTTCAACGGTACCAAAAAAGTAGTCAAACCTGGCTGGAGACAAGCAGGAGCACCAGCCTCGACAACGGAACCGCCCAAGCGACAGTTAACGTGCTATCTGGGCGGGATCACGACGTAGAAGAGAAGCGCAACGAATCAGGCGCCGCTGTGAAGGCCACTCCTCTTCGACGTAGGAAGCTAGGCCGGGGACAAACCGTTGATGGGTCTCTCCTGAAGCCCTGGAATGACGCGTCCGACAAAATGGGCAGCCGATTATCAAAACATAGAAGCAACCACAGCCGCACCAAAGGATTAACTACCGACGTTGGGGGCGTCCCTGAAGATGCGCCCGAGCCCGTGCCAGCGACCGTTCGCCAAGGTGGCCCTGGTGCTATTGCACGAAACACGACGCAGGGCCAGCCTTCGGAGAGTGTGAGAGGGCTTGAGGGGAATCTGCGAGGTGGAGATGAGTCGAGGAGTCGAACCGGCCCGAGACGGTCGAGACAACGACAACAACCATCCTCGGGTACGCCAGAAGAGAGGTCTGGGACATTGAAAAATACCGCGCATTCACACATAGATGAGGAGGAGGAGGAAGAGGAAGAAGAAGTCTCAGAGTTTAATTCGGCATCCTCCTCTGAGTCGGATTCATGGGACTCGGCTTCAGAGCTTCCCACAACACCGACCGCACGACGCTCTAGGAGTCCAACTATTCAGAGGTTGATATCCCAGCCATCGCCGTTGAATGATAAGAACAAAGTGGCCGCTCCTAGCAAGGAACTCCAGCGGACTATGGTCGGTCCCACTAAGCGTGCGGTAGAGAAAGCCGTTCTCAAAGGAGCCCTGCAACATTCGTTGAACGCATCCCAACGAGGAAGCCTTGACGATGTTTTTCAAAAACTTCAGATGTGAGGCGCAAAAACATTGACCCCTACCATCATCACCCTCCATTGCCCCCCTACGTGCCAATGGTGATACGACAAGGATAGCACGGGATGTACTAACAACCCGGCCAGCTTCAACGAGGATTCAGAGTCGGACGAGCCTATTGCTAAAGGAGGCAAGAACCCCGTGACGGGGCCCCCGACGCCGAAGAAGACGCTCCTAGCATCACCTTCCAAGCGGCCCAAGATCCCTGCATCGCCGTGGAACCCCCAGCAAGGCGAGTTCTGGGACCCGGAAGCGAACTTCGGCTGGATCGACAAGCACTCGCCTGAAAAGCCCGAGGGCAGCCGTCCTAGCCAGAGTCAGAGCGCACCGGACAACGACGGCAAGGCGCCAGGGCCGAAGCGCAAACACGCGGTGGCGACGGTCGGCGTGGCAAAGCGGGACGCGAGGAAGGCTTTCGACGTGACAAAGGAGGAGCTCGCGCGCAGCTTCCTACAGGAACTCGACGAAAACGTCACGGACGGGCAGCTGACGCGTATGACGGCAGAGACGGGCGGGCTGCGCATCGAGTGGTCCAACACGCTGCTCACGACGGCGGGGCGCGCGCATTGGAAGTGCAAGACCATGTCGACGGCGACGAAGCACGCGGATGGCACGGTTGAAGTGCGCAAGGAGGAGGTGGGGCGAAGACAACACCACGCGCACATCGAGCTCGCGTCCAAGGTGCTCGCGAACGAGACGGACCTCCTCAACACGGTCGCCCACGAGTTCTGCCACCTCGCCGTGTTCATGCTTGACGGGAAGCCGCGGGCGGCACACGGCCCCGAGTTCAAAGCGTGGGGTCGTCGGTGCGGCCGCGCGTTCGCGCACCGCGGCATCGAGGTGACAACCCGCCACAGCTACGAGATCGAGTACAAGTACGTGTGGAGGTGTGCGGGGTGCGCCGCCGAAGTGAAACGGCACTCAAAGAGCGTGAACCCGGAGCGCCAGCGGTGCGGCGCGTGCCGTGGCTACCTGCACCAGATTAAGCCGACCCCTCGGGGCGGCGACCCTGGGCAGGCGGCTCCCGGGGCGGCGGCGGGTAGGGAGGGAAAAGATGTCACCGCAAAGAAGAAGCCGAACGCATGGCAAGAGTTCATGGCCAGAGAGATGAAGGCGCTGAGCCAGACCGGAAAGGGTGTGCCGTTCGGAGAGCGCATGGCCATCGTCTCGGCGAAATGGAACGAGCTCCAGCAACAGCAGAAGAAGAAGTAGCCGCCGGCACGGGAGACGGACGTGGACGGGCTAGACGACGCGGTGGTGTTGCTCAAGATCATCGACGACGATGACGACGACGACGACGACGACGACGACAGGGAGGTGGAGAGCGGACAGCCAGTCCGACCCGCTGCCAGCGAAGACTGCCATGAAGACGGATAACGGTATTCCCTTGTGAATGGCGACTAGGACGACTAGGACTTAACCTTATAGGTCTGTACATAGCGGGTACCCTTAAAAGGCGTAGGTAGCCGAGCATGAATCTTCATGAGCAACCCATGTCGTATGAACGGAATCATGGACAGGCAGGGGATCGCAGCGGCATTGTAACCGGAAGAAACGGCCGATCACGCACAACAGGTTCTCCGGCTATGTAGGCACGTCCGCCTTGACACACAGCCAGTCGTTCACCAACGATGTATCAATCAATGAGAAAGGGTAGGCTAACGAGTTCCAAAGCGAGCAGACTTGAGGGACTTATAACAATCCTTTGGGGTAATAGCCGAACTTTGTTGTATATTTCGGTCCTTGTCTCAAGTTACGTGATGCCCCGCCAGTTGGGCCATACAGATTGGGGGGTTATACGCCGAAACTAAGCAGCGGAATACCGAATATTGTCTACCTGGGTTTACCTGATCTCGGATAGAGAGACGGTGTATGTAACACCTTGGGTAGTCGCTGTGATGTAGAGCTAAACTGGCAGCAGGTATAGGGTAACATTATATTGCCCGAGAGGGGAAGACCAAAAAAATTCCCCAAAATTTCCGCCCAACATACATCCTATGCATATGAAGATGGATGCGTGCCTGTCCGTGCCCCTTCCCACATTTCACGGAGCAGAGACGTGCTACACGCCCACTATACCATGTAGTTTTTCCCCATCTGATATCATCCTCCGCCGGGGTTTTAGACCTCCTTAAACAGGCCCCAGTTCTTGACCTTGAAGGTCTCCCAGATCCTCGAGGCATACTCGACAGCGTCACCGATGAGCTTACCCTGTTTGCCGAGCTGGAGGTCGACATCGTCTTCGTCATACTCGCCGCGTATGTGCGGCACATTGATGGTAATGAGCAGATCCGTCTTCTCGCGCTCGAGGCGTACCATCGTGAGGATGATAGCGGTAAGTTTGTTCTGCACATCTGTCTGCTGTTGCCCAACGCCAGCGGACGAGGGGTCAGGGTGCGGCGTGACCGTTGCTATGAGCGTGTATGCAGGTATATCCTGGCTGCTCGTTAGGCAATCCCGCATGGGGGGCGCCTGTTAGTAATGTGGCGGTGGCGGTGGCATATGAGACCCGGACAGGTGCTTCTTGTACGTACTTGAGACGTGAAAACTGGGTTGGGGTGGTGTTCCAAACATGGAGATTAACGATGTCTTCTGCCACCACCTCTTCTAGATGTGTGGTCAAGGCGCGGCCGTCAATCTCCGGGCCGGTGCCCGGCCCACCCACGCGCTCGTTGATGTCAAAGATGATGCTGGTGAAGCCGTCCTTGTCGATGTACACCTCTTGGTTGTCCGGTACCTGCCTGAGGGCGCTGATTTATGCGTATAGAACCGAGCGGAGAACGTAAGTTGGGTCTCATTGCAAGAGTAGGGGAGATCCAAAGATGGATGCGCAGACATACATACCTCACGTCGACGAAGTTGGCTGGCAGGTCGCAAATGAGTGCCCCTCCAAATAGCGGGGTGCTGTTATAAGTAGCCATGGCAGAAGCAGAAGCAGACAAAAGGCGTAGACGGGGAAATTGGTTTCTCGAGTTGGTTTCTTGAGTTGGTCTCAAACTCCGAGTAGAGAGCGGACGTATTGTGTATGCCTATGAAAGGGGGCGTTATTATATGGTGGTTGAAGGTAACTCGAACGATGCTTTCACAGCATACCGGTTCTGGCAAGCCAGTGGCAAGTATGTCATAGATTAGAGATAGGTACCTAGCTACATAACTACCCTCTTTAGATGGGAGGTAGGTAACTACCTAATATAGTTTCTTGAGCTAATGATATAGCATCCTTAAGTATATAAATTACCTAAGGTATGAAAATACTTAATATATATATATATATATATCTTTTATTACTACTATTTATTTACTATATAATATAATATTTATTATGTCACGTAGAAGTAGCTCTTTAGGTTACTCTTCTTCGTTACTTATCTCAGCAACAGGAGCTCCTATATATTCGCTCCGTTACTTCTACTTCTTTAGCTCGTTCTTAAATAGATCTAAGACCTTTTCTCTTCGCTCCTCCTCCCGTTACTCGTAAGATAGCTCCTCGCGCGTACTCTCGCCTACGTAGCTCTCTAGCTACATAATATATTATAATAAAAAAATTTTTTTTATTAATTATATAATAATAATAAAAATTTTATAAATATATAAATATATTATATTAATTACATACTATATTAAATTTAAATATTAATTAATAACTATATATAGATTATTTCTTATAAAATGATTTTGATATATTATTTTTATAAAATATTAATACTTATTATATATCAAATATTAAAATAATAATTTTAATTAGTTACCGCTTAAGAGGTACTCTCGTATCGGTATAAGTACCTCTGTACCTTATACCCTAATACCTATCGCGTACCTTCCTATTACTCTTTTATATTTATATATAAAGTAATTATATTATTATAATCTATTATAATCTAAGAAATATAAAAATATCGTATTATAAATATAAATAAATAATTAATTTTGTAAAGTTATAAATTATTTTATTAAATAAAATGTTAATTTAAATCTTTAATAATGATATAATAATGTAATAAAACTATTAATAAAAGACTTTTTATATATATATTATATATTACATATAAACGTAATTATATATATATATTTAACTTTTTAAAATTTGCCCTAGTAAATATATATCTTATTTTATCTCAAGACATTTAGCTATCCTGGATAGCATCTATTTCCGTCGGATTCAAGCGCATTATCGACGTACATTAAACCCCTCTCTTTGCCTTTTCAATCAGGCCAATATCGAATTCGCTGTCACCATGGATCCCAACTCAGCATATTCCAGGGGGGGCAGGGATTCCAAAGAGACCAGCATCTCGCCGCCGCCCCCTCAACGAACTGGGTCCGCCTCGAGCCTTCACAAGTTGGGGCATGTCACGAGCCATAGTCATCGCTCGAGTCTCGCCGAGAACCTGAGGGGAGTTGTGCCTCCGTCCCCGAGGAATCAACGCCATCCATCCTTTACCCAGGCTGCCATTCAGGAACTGCTGAACCATCCTCCCGCCCCGAGACACAATCCCCGGTTTGCCGGAAGGGATTGGCGAGACGTCGCTATTGGGGAGCTCGTATCCAAAGATGACGTTACCTGGGTGGAGTTGGGTACCAGTGTTCAGGATGCCACAATGGTGCTGCTACTTACTTCCTACGTGCCTCCGCCGCTTTTCCCGAGTCTAATTCTAACCCTTTTCCCAGGCGCTCCTCAAGAACACCTCGAGCAATGTCGTGATCATCCGAGAGAACGCCGCTAGCTCTGTCCCCGCCTCTACCTTCGACTATAACGATCTCAATGCATACTTACTTGTTGTGGTCGGCTTAGCGCATCCTAGCGAAGACTTGGTCGAGTTATATGATAGTCTGGCAAAGAAGGCCCAGGCCCGGATTAATATACCACTTGGTGACATCCAACCGATATTCAGAAAGGAGTCGCTGGTCACCCTTCAAGGGGATGAAGATCTGACCAAAGCCATTGAGGTCTTCGGCAGTGGTGTACACCGCGTGCTTGTTGCGAATCACAACGGTGAGGTCGTTGGCATTCTGAGCCAGTTGAAACTCCTCGAGTTCTTCTGGAACGAGGGCATAAACTTCCGCGTCATCGATGAGCTCTACCCGAGGGTCTTACGTGATCTTGGCGTAGGTTCTCAGCAGATAATAGCTATCAAGTACGTACTTTGCTACTGGGCCTATTATACGCTCAAGAAATCCCGTTGCTGATAACCACGTAGCGCAGACAGCCCTTTGACAGAGGCCCTCAATCTTATGAGCCAAGAAGGCTTGTCGAGCGTAGCTGTCGTCGACAATGGCCTGAATGTCGTCGGAAATATCTCCACAGCTGATGTTAAGCTCCTCATCAACGCCACGAGTCTCCCGCTATTACACAATTCCTGCATGCACTTCGTCTCGGTAATCTTGACGGAGAAGGGAGTTGAGAAAGGGAAGGATTCATTCCCCGTCTTCTATGTGAACCCTTATTCGACACTCGCCCACACCGTGGCCAAATTAGTAGCAACTCACTCGCACAGGATGTGGGTAGTGGAATCGGCCTCTCCACCCTCTTCGGCGCCCGGGACTCCCTCACTCGGCCCCACAGTTGTCCTTCCAGCTCCTCCATCTTCATCCCAGACGTCCCTTAGCGGAAGTCATTTTCCTTCGGTCCCGGCTTCCTCCCTGCCTGGAACTCATCTATCTGGGCGCCTAATTGGCGTGATTACGTTGACAGATATCCTCAACCTGTTTGCGAGATCGACCGGGCTCAACCCAGCAGACCCAAACGAGCAACGCGCGAGACGACGACGAAGTTCTAGCAGCTCGGTCCGGCCGTCCATTGAGTCGACCCGCGCGAGCCTCGACATTCGACGCTGAAGTTATAGGATGATTATATAACCGCACACTACGAATTTGTTTACATAAAAGCCATCCTGCGCTCTCGGGCTTGTCTCAACCGTTTGAGCGGCATGCCTAATACAGGGTGGTCTTGACCTTCCTATATTCTCGACAGCAGGCGGGGATGGGAGAGATAATTATAATATGAAATACTCGAAATACCTGAGGAGTCAATGGCGCTGCGTTGGGTATTTCCTCGCAAGAACTCGTGGTTGGAGTTCTTGGGGTGGGGCTTCTTCAAGTTCGGATTGATATATATATATATGTATCTACTTGGTCTACTTTGCTCTCGGTTTTCCTTTCCAACGTCGCCCTATGAGTACACAACTGGTGTTCATCTTGTTGTCGGTACACCCCCCCCCCCCCCCAAAAAAACAGCGGAAATATTTAGGGGAAAGAAGCGAAGGGGGGCGGAATCGCCACGGAACGGTTTGAAAACTATAACATATTACGTAAGTGGTACATTGAATAAACCGATCTTTGTCCCGAGGTTCCCTAGATAAGTTTCCTGCGCATCTAAGGGCGGTGATCGGTATATTGGCATGAACCTGTATCTTTAATTTGAGGTTGGTTCACGCAGATTCTGTCACACAATAAGATGCACAAGCCATCAGGTCTCCTTCTGTATCGAGGAGTTGTCTTGTCTGAAGACGAGGTTGCAGACTAGCCTAGCTAATCCCCTGTCCCTTAAACGATAACTAGATAAATTAATGATCAGAAAGACGGTATTAGCTTTTAAATATACGCGTTAATATCTACGAAAAAGGTCTGATAAAAAATAATTAAAAAACGGAAGCATACGTAATTTAGATAGTAATTTCGAGATAAATGCAATAAATGAAACGTTTAGTAATGTATAGAATTGTAAGAGAGCAACAAGAAGGTGCGTGATAAGCACTGGAGTATAAAGTATAGAGGTACTTATACTGGTACGAGAGTACCTTCTAGGCGGTGACTGTTTTAGCTTACCCTTTTCCTAGCTATATAGGCGACCGCCTTTTACTAAGCACTCGCCTTTTTATTCTTTAAAAGGCAAGTGCTTATTTTCGTTACTACGAGAATATACTTATTACCTAGTGTGGTAGTACGGTAGGACTAAGCTATGTAGCCTTTCAGATAAGTGTTTATATAGATTTCGTACCTATATTTTCATAAATTAGACTTAGTTCTATAGATATTACAACCTATAGCTATTAATTTATTTAATTTATTAAATTTTTTTATTATTTATTTATTTTAGTTTTTATTCTTCCTAGCTACTGTTTCTAGTTAGTAAATTAATTAATTATAGTTATTTATAACTTTAATTTTATTTAAATAGTGCTAAGTTTATAATAGGTTATGCCTATTATAGGGCCCTAGCTAGTATTAAGATATAGTACGTAATCAGACTCGTAATACTTATAGAAAATAAGGCTAGCTATTATAAGTACAGCTTATAGGGTATACTTTCCCTCCTTTTTTCTTTCTTTAGCTTTAATTTATTAATATACGGCTTTTACTTAGTGAATAGTCTGTAAAACCGTAATAAAAAGCTAAATTAATTTTCTTTATCGTTTTACGGAATTAATATCAAAGCGAACGGAATTAATAATAAGAACGGCGATATAGTACTTAAGGAAGCGGTAGTTAATAAAGTTAATAGTCGGAAAGGCGGTATTAATCTTTATATATACGCGCCGACGGTACTTACAAAAGAAGACTAATAAAAAAGGTAACGGTTTAATAATATCTTAATGAACGGAATTAATAATAAGAAAGGCGATATTAATATGGTAAAGTTGATAATCAGAAAAATGATATTAACTTTTAAATATACGCGTCAGTAGTAATTACGAACGAGGACCGATAGAAGATAACTGAAGAAACGATTGAGAACCTAAGAAAATATAATTTAAACGAGAATTTCGAAATAAAAGAACGACGAAATCGACGAAATCGGCGGTTAAAAAGGCGGATATTTTTTTTCTAAAGAAAGATAATAAAGCATTCGAATATAACGTTTAATAAAGTTAAACCACGCTTGAAACGTAAAGAAAGAACGCTTAAAGCGTAATATAAAAAGGAACAGCGTTAGAATAGCGACGAAATGATAAATTTAATTAGGATATGTTACGTAGTAATTAAACCAGCCCATATAAGCCTATATACCGCAAAGCGTAAATGTAGGCGTCTACGTTTTACGTGATAGTTATGAGCCCGGTTAGCGCTCCAAGGTGCTTGGCTTAGTGGTTCGGTTCCTTTAATTATACGTATATAGTAAAATGCAGCCCCTTATACGGTAAAGCCCCAGAGCTAGACTAGAACTAGTAGTAAGGCGTCGCGCTAAGAGGTAGGGGGATTAATTCTCCACGAGGGGCCCTAAGAGGCGGTCGGACGTTAGCAGTTGTTAACCCACCTACTAGAGGTGTTTAAAAACTAGAGGGTATATTACGTAGTAATTAAACCAGCCTATATAAGCCTACATACCGCAAAGCGTGAATGTAAGCGTCTACGTTTTACGTGACATATTATTAGGTATTACGATTTTACAAGCTATTCGCTAGGTAAAGGCCGTATATTAATAAACTAAAGCTAAACAAAGAGAAAAAGGAGAAAGTATGCCCTATAGGCCGTACCTATAACTACTGGCCTTATACTTCGTAGGTACTAATTATATACTTAGCCCTAGCACTAGCTAGGGCCTTATAATAGGTATAGCCTATTGCATTATGGCCGTATTTCGTCGAGATATAGCTTTCTTTTTAATTTGCGCGTTCTATAGTATATTCAGTTAATTCTTAATTAACGTAATATTAATAGATATCCTCTTCTTCGTTTCCCGGCCTCTTAGGTTTTCCTATTCCTATCCCCCGTCGCTTAGTATGACGTCTTACGCTTATTTCTCCTATCGACGAAAGTAATAATAATAACGTAAGTAATATCGCCGTCGTAACGGTTTTAATAAAGCTAACCTTTCTTATTTCGTTATTCCTTTGGTTTAATTACGTATTAATCAGTTTTATAACGAGAGAGCGTCCCCCTTAGTTTTAAACCCGCCGCTTAGGAGGTTATCGTTCTCCTTTAGACTCTTATTATCCCGCGTACGACTACTACCCCCGCTCGGCCGTTACCCGTCCAGCGGACGTTCGTACCTTTCCTTACCATCGTTACGTAGACGCTTTACGTATTTATTACGATAAAGAGAGCCGGGGTCCGACGTACACGGAATACGCGATTAACGGATATAATTATTAACCGTTATAAGTATTATATATATCCCGTATAAATAAATATTATTAATATTTCCTAACCCCGTTGTCGCGTTTTCCGTCGCTTATTAATAAATAACTAGCCGTACCTCTATTAACGGTTTCCGTTTACGGGACGTTCTCGTTTTCGCTAACGTTATCAAGCATTTATTAACTTACGGTTTAATCGGTTTGTTAATCTCCTTCCTTTCCTTTTTTTTATTTTTTTACTATATTGTCACGTAGAGAGCTACCTGTACATAGCTCCCTACTTCCTCTCTAGTTGCTCGCTTACTTAACATAGCTTCTAGCTCGCTTATATAATATAGCTTATAGCTTCTTATTATCTATATATAAGTAGCTCGTATCTCCTTTATTTATTTCCTTCCTTCTTAGATAGTTAATTTACCTTCTTCTTTCTACCTTCCGTTACTCTTAAGAAGTAACCTTAGTACCTACGTAGCTCTTCCGATATACGTAATAATTATAAGCCCGGTAGCTCTTTTAAGGAGCTAAGTTAATTAAGGTCTTACTATATAAGCTTTCAAGTAATCTTAATATTTATTTTAATGTCTTTAATCTTTCGATTAATCGTTTTTCTTTTAAATATCGCTTTCATTTATATCGCTTTCGTTTTCCTCTCGAGTAATATATTTATAGCAACTATTAGCACCAGCGGAGATTTCTCTATTAAAAAGTTACCTATTAATATTAACCTTCGTAACTTCGACGAATATTTATAATGGTTTATTACTTTTTAAAACTACGCCAAGTAATTCGATATCTAGAAGAATATGAATCTTAATGCGAACGATTATAAGCTAAGCTCGGCGATACTCTTATTGCTCGAAAAATTTATTACTTAAGAAAAGAAGCGAGCGAGGAAGTAATACCTCGAAGCTTTTTACGAATAAGTTAAGAAAGATCCTAAGACTTATAAGAAGGAGCTAAAGGCTTTAGCCGAAAACCCGCGCTACTTCTTTATCGAAAAGTATAAGTAATTACTCGCATAAAGTCGCTCTTAGGAGTCTTAGGTTACTATCGCCGGTAAAAGTTACCGAGCTTTTTATTATTAGATTATATCCTTAGTCTTTATTAATTATCTCGAGTTCGTTAATATATAGCTTAAAGCTTAAGGACTTAAGCCGAACGTTTAAAATATTGTAAGATTACTTTGCGACTACCTCGCTTCTACCTTTATTATTACGTAAAGGCTTATTCGTTAGAAGTACCGCGAGGTCTTATAAAAGGTAAAGGCGGGGATACTTTACGGCGAGTAATTCTTTACTGCTTAAAATAACGCTTACTACCGAGCTTTCGCTTACGATATTAACGAAATCTAAGGCGTATTCGGAGCGAAGAATTTCCTCGAAGTTATTAAAGCTAAGATCGCTTTAGATTAAGCTACTTACGTAACTATTAAACTAACTACGGCGGACCGGCTTAAACGATAGCCTCTTTCCTTTATAAAGTTAAGTAAAGTATTCGGAGCTCTTATTACCGAGGATAAGAAGATAAATAAATCGGACCTTTATATTTTAGCTACGTATTAAAGAGCTATTTTAGGATATAAAGCTGGAGAGATTAACGCTAGTAACTCTAGTAGCTCTAGTAGCTCGACTAATAATACTAGAGCTTATAAGTATCTATATAATAAACGGTATCGCTAGGTTCCGGAGGTATACGCTAACCTTTAATTCGTTATTACCGGTAAAACGCTACGATAAATCTCGTATTAACCCGACGACGTAAAACTAGCCGTTAAATAACGGTATAACTTAAGCGACTTCGCCTTATTCTAAGCTTTTATTAAAAGCGACGGTTAAAAGGTTACCGCTCCTAATTA